ATATCCATCAAGTTTCATGAATATATTTTGCATGATGGCATAGCAGTCTCATCTTTCCAGGACTTCTAACAATTCTGTCCCCTGGTTTATCACATCCCCTAAATAATCCCCAAATCCCCGTCAGTTTACATATTGCCTCTGAAGCAGGACGACTTTTAGTTGGCTGAGAAATTGGGGCAGGTGAACAGGACTTCTGCTGACACAGCCCTGCACAGAACACAGCTCTGTGATGCATAGCAGAACACTGCCAAAGAGTATCAAATTATTTATTGTGGGGCTGTGTCAGCAAAAGTCCTATCTGGCATCTCCTAAGCGACAACAGATAAGCTGGCTGTCTTCGCAGAAAGGAATTAATCAGGGATAAGGGATGGATTAAGGAGAGTTTGATAAGATAGACAAAAAGTATGGAGAAGGTAAGGGTAGGGCTTCGAGAGATTAAGAAAATGTTAGCGATAGGAGCACACCCATGGACCAATCGTGCACAGACAGACACTAGCCAGTAAGGTCAGGTTAGGTTAAGTAAGGCCAAGCAGTTGCTCAGATCAGGCATGGCAGAAGATGGTGATAGGTCAGGAAGAATGTTTCGAATGGAACATTTGATTCCAAGTCAGCGACCAATGCGGGAGAGAGGAAAGTGCAGACAGGAGTCGGAAGAGTCTGATTAGATGGAGGGCATGGGCCGAACAAAGCCCTGGGATGGGTTCAACAGCTGCCAAGGACACAATGGATATTGAATGAGGAGTTTCTCTTGGTCCTCCCCTTGACAACTCTCTGGGCTGTAATTTCCTTCTCCACACCCTCTCCTGATGAAGAGGCCAGTGAGAGGTAAGTAAGATACTTGGAACAGGATGAGGAGAAGGCAGAGAGAGGAAGCCATTTCATTTGGCACTAAGTAAACGTGGGGGCAGTTCTGACGTAATTACAGGGCATCAATTCGCATGGAAGTCAGTGTAATTTGACTGAAATTTGATTACAAGATTACCAAAGTCTTCCCACCTTGTGTCTACATTTCCCTCCAAAATGAATTACCTCGGCAGGAGAGGATTTTTTCTCAGCTCCTGTCGTCTCACCCATTCCTGCTTTATCATCGCATCCATCTCCCCATTCTCAAAGCCTCCTACTGTTCCAGACGAAGTTGGTGTCAGTCTATCTTCATCTCCCCGGCCTTTTCAAGACACACCCTCCTCCTTACCCTCTAGTCTGTTTTCTCTGAGGCTCTTCTGATTCCTCAATGTCTCCAGACTCTCCCACTTCAACAGCATTATATCGCCTTCTTCGTGTTTTGTCCTCACCCTGACGCCCAGGACTCTCCCCACTTTCTGCCCTCTCCAGCATCATACTGGTCTTACTCTGTCCACTCCTCCCTTTGCTCTCCTTGATTCTTCTACAATATCTCTCCCTTCTCCCTACCACCACTTTAAACTATTCCTACCTACTTCTGCACGCTCTCGTTCGATTTCCCCCTCATCTCTCCGCCATATTCCCCAGGCAGCACAACTCTGGCAGGCTACATCACAATTGCCACCAGAGTCCCACTACCTGACCTCGTTGGGTCAGTTTACCGGTGACGGTAAGACGGTGGTCAATGACATCGATTTCTGGTGAGCACCTGACTAGCATTGACACTTTGCCACCCATGCCATGATCTCGCTCGCTCCGATAGTTATCCACCGCTGGACCGAGGGAAGAGCGCTACCTGGGCCTTCTCTTCCTTGTCTGCTGCTGGACCTACAATTGACCTACAATCCTCTTCCCACCTAGTTCTTTCCACATGTGCTATTTCTCTTCACAATCCCCTAGTGGATTCTTCTTCGGGTTCAGATTCTCTCCCCTATCGCAGGCTATTGCCAGTGCCTGTTCTCAGTGGCGTCTAGACCTATTCTGTCTCAAAGCATCTGCTCTCCCTTACCAGGATGCACCCTCCCTCCCTCCTTTTTCCTTGCAGTCTCCAAAGCACTCTGCAAACCATCACAGACCTTATTCCTACATCTCTCTGGCATTTCCTAGAACCCTCTGTTCTCTGCTAGTCCTCTTTCTGGTATCTCCCTGGCACCTGAGAATGCTGCTTGTCCTATCCAAGGCCTCCAAGCCCCCATCTGTACTGCATCTTCCCATATAGTCGCATGTGCCTCCCCACATGGTGCTGCAGTCTTTTGCCAGTCACACATGGCTGCCTCGTCTCTGTAGTCGAAAAGAGGAGAATTTCGTCGCGTGGAGCGAAATACACGCCTTTTATGATGGATATTAATTTCAGGTCGTTTGCAAAATAGGAGCAGCTAGCGGCACCAACATTCATCTAAATTTCGCCCACAGAGTTGTCATTCTTATACGAAAATCATGTAAGCTTCAGACTCCAGAATCGAATATCATCGGTGGCATGGCGTTTGCCGCACCTGGCATAAGTCATAAGCGGCAGGGCCGCCAGGAAAGGAAGCGATTTGTCACACCTTTCGCATTTTTTATGTGTGGTCAGCTGTTCAGAGGCGGTTTTCCATTCCTCTATTTTAATTTCAGTTATGACTTTTAGATTCATGGTCATAGAAAATTCACTTCCCGATATTCTACTCCCTGCCTTTATTCGAATTGGCAAGCATGAAGGGCCAACGTAAACAAGTAAAATATTTTAAATATGCAAGATCTCTTCAGCTGATTCCATCCTTCCAACTGCTTCCAACTGCTTCACCTGTTTCATTCAGCTTAATATCGCGTGTTTGTCCTGGCATGAGAAAGAAACCACCTGATCTCCTTTTGTCCCGATGTCGCAATAAATTCCTTGAACATGGTTATGCCTCTCTTTTTTATCTGGTTGAAAATACGGAATGACAGAAAGGTATTAATAGATACAAATATGGAATGAAAATTGTCAAATAATGAAAATAGATGTTATAGGGCGCAGAGTCGAGTATATGTACCACCCGATTTGTGATGAAATGTTACCGACAATCTCTTCGGATTGTATTTGCAATTCTCCTTGGTATTGATAAACGCAGAAAGCAAGACTTCCAGAATATAACCACTCATCCGGAAGGTGTCATTGCCTGAAAAACAATGGAAGCGTTCCTTTTGGGGAGAGGGGGTACGAAGTCCATCCGATAACAGTTAATTGCTGTTCGTGTCCTGCCGCTGGCCACTCGTAGATCAAAATAGGCAATGAAAGAGGGACAGGTGAATTGCGGAGTTGCATGCCAACAAATATAAGGTGACGTGCACCCGATCCGTTTAACTTTAAACTCAGCTGGTTTAATAATGGGCGCCTATGGGAATAGAATTATCTGTCAAACATAGAGCAGGGGTGTCAAACTCGATTAAGCTGGGGGCCGGATATGCATCCCCTTCAGGGGTGGTTGGGGGCCACACTAACACATATTTTTAATGCGAACACGTTTGAAATCTCTCCGCTTTTCCAAAAAGCAACTAGTGATGTGGGCTTCGTGGGCTGGACGAAATGAAAAAACGGGCCAGATCCGGCCAGCGGGACACCAATTTGACACCCCTGCCATAATGGATCATTGTGAGACCAGACTAAGTTAAACAGATTCGGAGCAAGTCACCTATAGTCTCCCAAGGAGTCCCTTGAATCGATGGTGTCTGAGGGTGAGGGGGTGAATGTGGCAGTCTAGCCTGTGAGTCTGTATAAAATGATTTTCCGATTGGATACGCCCCTTGTGCGTGGCGCCAAAAGTCGACTGGGCGACACCTGCCTTCTCAAAATAACTGACGGGTTATAACTCGGGGTTCAGGTGATGGAAAGCTTTGGTTACCCGTTCTTGAGGGAATGGGAGGGACTGTAGAACGGGCGACGTCGTTCATCACGTCGCCAACAATTCTAAAAAAACGCGTGGGGAAGGCGTCTTCGACGTGGATTAGTTCAGCCGTTTTTTTTTAGGAACGTGATTGCGATGCAATGACCCATCTATCAAGGACGATTTGACAGTTATGCGAGTTTCGGTATAATGTTGCGTGACTCGTTAGAGTCAATCCTCAATTGGTGCAGGTACAGCAGATGATATACTCTTTGCTTATTCAAGCCGGTGCCTAATCAAATCACACTTTTTCAGGCTCATGTGTCAGTTTTCTAGACACTAGATCACTTGGGAGTGAGTTTCTATATCCCCCTCCCGCTCCTCCCACCAATTAACGGTGTTTTTTGTCAAAAATAAAGGCCTGAAATAATTTTTTACCAGGAAAAGCCCACAGGTGATCTCCCTCTGATCTATGGCATCCGGGAAAATATTCCGGTAGTTTCGAAGCTTATATGGTTAACGTCAAGGAACTGAGTTGTTTAACTAAAACGTCTTTGCAAAAGTTCGATGTTACGCTCACCGAAGGCTCAGTGAGCCAAAAGCTTCTACCTCGCAAAGACATCTATATGAACATTCAGCGAAGACAGGTAAGAATTTAAGCAAATAGGGTAAACACCCCAGTTTTTGGTCACGCTGATACGACTCCCATAGGAAGTGGACACCCTGTGCGCACACCGGGAAACACTAGTAATAAGTCCTCGTACGGGAAGATGTTGATAGAATGCTTGAAAACGGCCTGATTAACTAATTATGCTGGATTTAAACCTCACTGGCCAACAACTGGAAACTGGCCAGAAAACGGGGTGCTTACCCTATTATGAAGAGAATCCAATACAATTAGAAATTCTGTATTCCCGAAGGAGATATGAATCCCTGTCGAATTTTGTGGAACATAATTCCAGAAAACCCAATAAAGCATACCCTCGAGTAGAAAACGCGTGAGCCGATTGTACACGAATCAGAAACCCAGCCTCTCGCAAGAGTACAAAACTGGACGACAGGGCTGCCCTCTAGTTGAACGTCGCCAGACCTTTCAGTGGCCTGCACACGAACGCGAACACTTTTCTGTAGGCACATCCGGTGATTTTTTTTTTTTTTTTTAGGAAAAGAGGCAATCCTGATTATGAACAAGTCCATTTGAATGTCCAAACACTTTCATATGTAGTGCACACTTTCATATGTGCTGCATGAATAGAACAGAAATGAACCAAGGGTTCTTTTTATTTAATTACAATCACAGTAGTTTATATCACATGAGTACAGGAGAGACAGGCATCAAGGAAGCATGCCTTACAAGGATCCCTAATAACAATCAGCTGAAATGTCTTGCTGTGATTCATGTGCTTTGAATGCAATGAGGAGATTCTCTACAACATCTTTGAGTTCCCCAGAAGCCTTCAAATCTTCCTCCTGCTTGATCAGCACAGATCGAAGCTGCCTCAAACCCTCTGCAGGTATTATGGACTTGACTTCAGTTCGAAATCCAGGGTTTGTGTAGTCTAGTGAATCCCACCTCATTTGAGAAATCACATATGAGCAATCGGATCCATCTAAAATGGAAGACACAACCTCTTCCCTGAATGGGGAGACCTCAAATTTCAATGAAGGCTTTTTTGACTCTGGAGGTTGAGGTTCTGCAGATATCTCTGAATGCGGAAGGGAGAAGGATTGAAATTCTTTTTGCAAGAATGCAAGTATGTCTTTAGCTTTTTGTGCAACACAGGTCTCTTCATCATTAAGGCATTCAAAAAGACTTGAGAGGCCTCCATTTTTGCACAACCTTTCCCATGTTGCAGCAGCATCATGACCACACTGGTCATGTAACTGTTGCTCAGCATAGTTTAAAACTTTCATTTTCACTTCCCAGTCAAAATCTAGGCATGCACGCCACAACATCTCCTGGTCTTCAGCATCAGATACAGAGCATAGGTAGTCAACAGCAGCACGCCGGGTAACCGCCTCTGCATCTTTCTCCAGGATCCCTAGGGCCAACTCCTATCAATATAATGACATAATTTCAGGTATTATGATGAACTTGTGGACACATCTATTAAATTTGAATATGCTTTAGAAGGAAACACACCCTTGCTGACTTCTGTGAAAAGCCATGTTGGGAAACAATGGAGTCAAAAGACAAAAAAAGCCTGAAAACTTGTAGGGCAGATGCACGAACATACGGTTCATCAGTGTTCACACACTCTCTAATAAGTTCTATCATTTTCTTGTCCAAGAGCCGTTCCAGGTCTTCTACAAACAAAGAGAAAATGCTATCATCACTTGAATGCATCAAGAGAAAACACAATCAGGACCTATAGTCCTTACGTGAGGAAGTAAGTTTCCCAATGACTTGTAGAGCCCCATCTATTACACCCCAGTCTGAATGTTGGAGGCAGAAATTTAATGCCTCTCTCAGCTGGATCCAATTTTTTGCTTCAGCTTTGAATGATTCCCCACACAGCTTCAGGCAGGATCCAATTGATTCCAAGATTCTGGACATGTACTGGAGATCCAACAACAATTTTAGAAATACTTACCAAGAGCTACTGACATGTGAGCCATGCAAAACATCAGTTCTGACCTGAGAGTTCCTGCCCATACGAAAAACTTCCACAAGAAATGTTCCCATCCACTCCACATTGAATTCAGCCATGCTCTTCAAATCACCAGTGTCTCCCCCATCTACATCCAGCAAGGCCAAGTGGAGGGTGAAGGCAGGAAATATCAGCTTTGTTATCAAGTAATCATCTTTTTCCTTTCGGAGAAGGGATGGGAGAACCCTCACTGCTGATGATATGATTTCCCTCATCACCTAAAAGAGAAAGAATACTGACAGTGAATGTTTTCATAAGCTGTAAGTACATCAAAGGAAAGGGACAACAATGGCAACAGAAAAACAATGAGATGAATTTTTGAGGTAAGGTATAGCTGGTTCATGAAATTTAGTGCAGTGATTCTTCCTTTCCTCATTGCTCAGCTCCAGGCATGGTATTAATACATTGACTGCCATTCATGCTATGTGGTGTGTTTGACAAGGTGAGTCTCCACCAACTAGCAGTGCTTGGCAATGACATTTGAATCCAATTAAATGCCCAGCAGTCAATGTTTTAACAGGTTTTCAAGTACAGAGGTTGCTGTGAATGGAATACTGCTTTGCTTGCATTAATATTAAGCATATTTTCTGAATTTCTTTGAAACCAGATGCCAGTGCAAAAACAAATCCCCTGGCAGTGAAAGTGTTAACATAACACTTCACAGTTTGTTAGTAGTTAGGACACAGCATGAGAACTACTTGTTTTCAGTTCTTACACCATCACCAACAACTCTGACAGGCTCAAACTGAAATACACGACATTTTAAGCCATGTCAAAATCTGTGCATGATATAAGCAAACATTTATGCATTTTGTGAAAACAAGTCCTCATGAACATCAAGAAGTCATATACTTGGCAGGGTCAATGGCTGATCTTACTTATATGGCAGATCCTGCTTAATAAAATATGCCTAAAAAATGGTAAAGTCAAATGCATTCGATGCCTTGCCAAAATTATCTAAAACTGTTTCACTGTGAATGTATGAATATATTCCTTTCAAAGGGCAAGTGAAAAACTCACAGGTATAGCAACAATGGCATCATGTGCTTGATGGAGAGTAAGACAAGATGATGTAAGAATAGAATACAGTTCAGTTGGCTTCAACAGGAGAAGAGCTTCCTGGAATGTCTGATAGGTATGGTTGAGATATGTCAAACGTTCCTGAAGACCTTCACTAGCATATGGCCACTCATCCTTGGAAATGCGGCTCTCCACATAGGTGAGAAGAGGACAAGAGAGAATAGCAAGCATCCCTGTGCCGATACTTACAATAGCTTCTTCATGCTTGGCAACTGCACCATGAAGGACTGTCCAAGACTTCAGCACATCCAGTCCAAGCAAAATAATAGCTTTGATTTGATTGCTCTCAAACAGCTCACTTGCAGCTGCTTGGAAATGGCATTGGACTCTAGCTGCATGCATAGAGAGGCTCTTCCCAGATTCACCCCCCATTATCTTCTCTTGCATGTCCTTCATCATTGCTAAAAGAAGTAGGCTTGTACTCTCTTTCAATAATTTTCCAGAACTGCTCAAAGCAATCAGGTCCTTGTCCAGCTGAGCATCTCTGGAAAATTTAATTTTTCTTTCAAGACAAGAAAGAAAAATCACTTTGAGGAGGTGAAGAAGCTTGATTTTGTCTGAATTTTGATGATGGAGAAGATCCACTAACAGGATCACTTTGGGGAAGATGGATGGATCATCCAACACCAGAGCCTGCATGAGTTCCTCAGACTGACGAACAACATATTGGCTACTGTGGCATGAATCGTGCACTAGTTGAGACAGGAAGTCTGTAGGATGAAACAAAGTGTGAAACATCAATTAAGATTCATAAGTTTCAAAATATGAAGCAAAAATTCCTTATACAGTCGACACTTCATACAATGAACTTCTATGACAAATTTTATTCCAGTTCCTGGTCGTTTGTTTGCCCATTGCCATGCATGTTAAAAAGTTTCTCTATAATGAAGTTCTGTATAACAAATTGTTTTGTTTTACAAACTCATTTTTTCATCCAAGGGAACAAAACTGTTCTGTATTACAAAGTTTTAATCTGCAGCACACTTCAGAGCTACTTTCTCTTGGGCATTCCTGGAAAAAAAGTTCATCTCATATCTAAATTTAGCACATTCCACCCCCTTTGTGGGTGGGCATGGGGAGGAAGGGAGACCTGTCAGTTAGACTTAATCTTTTCAGCAAGTAAGATGGGGAAACGAAAAGCTCTCTCCTTCAAGGAGAAATGGAAAGTCATCCTTGCTGTTTGGAAAGGTGGCAAGAAGGACATCGCCATAAGGATCAGGGAAGAGTCCAAAATTCTACTCAGTCAGGTGAAGGCTTCCTTCAACTATCTTTGACCAGAGGCCAAATGTTGAGCCTGAAACTTTTCAAGCATTGAGTGCTCTGCAGACCACAACTCAAAGAATTGTCCAGGGAAGGAGCACAGCAGACAACCATACAGGATTTTTGTTTCCAATGAATAGAGAGCATTGCTGACTTGTCTGATTTTTATTAGACATAATTTAGGTACCCATTTGGGTACGTACATTATTCTTGAGAGCTAGATTTTTGCAATATTGCATACGTTTAGACCTTTGCACTTATTTCATGAATGGACAACTACAATTTTTTTTTTACACTAAGTGACAGTTTGAAGTGATATTGATGTAAGTTTAACAGGCCTCTTTATTTTTCAGTGAAATGAGGGAAATTCCCTAAAACAAATCTTCTTGATAACAAATTTTTTAAACCCATCCCTTTGAGTTCATTACATGGAGTGTTGACTGTATTAATAAAAAATAATCATAAGATTTGTATGACTCACCTTCTTCCATGAATTGCTGTTTCCACCCAGGTAGTCTCAAAAACTGCTTGCTGAGGGAATACCAACAAACAATGACGGAGGGTTCCAGCACATGGAAATGCTTGTAAAACCTCTTCATTGTTAAAATCTCAGGTACATCTTGTATCAGCACATCCCAAGTAGCATCAACCTTTGCGATTGTTTCTAGGATGGCAAACATAACCTTCCAGGCATCTACTTGTCTTGGGTGATCTGATGGAAACTGCAGCATTGCTTTCAGAAACTCCTTGAGGCATGGCAAATTCAGAAGCTCATCCCCTGGGATTTCTACAATAAAAAAATTTCCATTAGACTTGAAACACTGGACATAAATTGTCTGATACTCATAATTGTAAATGTATTCATGGAATAAACACTCAACATACCTTGAAGTAAAGATGCCAAGTTCTCGACAATTGCATCATCATGTACTGGATCAGTGGCACTAAGTAGCTTCTGAAGCATTAGTTCAAAATCTCTTGTAGGGATGGACTGCATTGCAGGATGACTTACACCTGGTGACTCATACATGTGTGCCTGTTGAGAGCAACAAGGATGTCAGAAATATCATAAACATAAAAATTATTTGAAGAAGTAACCCTAATTCAACTTGGGACAAGCACTTGAAGGAAGGCACAAACAACAAACATATAGTAAAGCTACATAGCAAAATGGAGTTCAGCTCTGATCTCTAGTTCTGGGTGCTCCCTTTATCTATTTTATTTTTTAAATCTTATTTGGTCTCATTTGGACCTGTATTCATTCCTCATTTTTCATTTCTCTTTTTAAATTCTTTCCCATTCTGCATCTTTACTCTTGATCTCCCTTTGGACAACAGGTTTTGCAGAGTTTCACTCCACTCCTATGCCCTCCCTTAACTTGGGGAGTAAAGATGAAAGAAATAAGAAAGCAGGTTTGCAAAGTCATACAAATAAAGCTAACAGAATGAGGAAAGCCACAGAAGCCAATATAAAAACCAGTGAAACATATCCTTGGAACTAGAATGGCATTGAACTAAGTCTAATGTCAATGGCCAATAGAGGGCAGAGTTGGATGGCATAAGAAAATAAAAGAACACCAGAAAACAGCCTAGAATTGAACCTGGTTCTCCTATCTACTCCTACTTATTCATTGCACCCTACTCTTTACATCTTATAGGTTCCTAGACTCCTGACATCAATGTAATGTCAGAGGCCATTACAGGTAGCATTGGATGGCACAAGAGAATGAAAGAATACAAGGGAGCAGCTTGGAATCAAACCCAGGTCTCCTGATTGCCAGTCAGGTGTGCTGTCACAATGCCACCAAACTCAGGACTTTCTTCACTAGGCCATCCCTATCACTACATAAGACCTATCCATATTCAGAGGCCTACCAGTGCACTATCATGGGCTCTGGGTTAACTCATAACAGGGCAATGTCAAGCCTTGATGTAGCCTACATCAAAGTCTGCCAACTTTAGGATCAAAACCAGTGGATATAACTAAATACGCCTCTTTTCAGTGCCAAAACATATGTGCTTGGCTAACTTCAAGTAAATCAGCAGTGTTTTGCAAATAATTTGTAAGATTTTTCACATTGCACAGTGTTACTTCTATGGTGCATCTAGAGAGGTGAGGGTCTACCTTCTATGGCAGAAAAATGACATTAGGCCAATGAATCCCGTGTTATGGATTGTAGGAATTCATTTCCAAAACGTTGTAATGAAGTTAGGCCTAGGCCTATGAGGGGGTATCCAGTCCCAAGAAGTGAATTACTTCCTGAAACCCAGTCAAAGAATGGGTCTGTGATGGCTAAATTCGCCCAAAATCCTGGGAGTAGGCCTTAAGCCTCATTTATTGCTTATTGGAGCTCACAGCAGCACAAGAAGCCAAAACACGTGTTGAGCACGACGGAACGTACGACCAATGTGCAGGACACCGGCGCAAGCCCATGAGACAATCATCCATTACATTCAAGATTGAACATAATTATGAGTCCAATGCTTTGAAAACCCTTTTTTAAAAAAATGTAGTTTTATTAAATTTTATTTATATACAGTGATCTCGTGATGAGTTCACTCACCCTTTAATGTAAATCAGTTTTCTCCGGGCTAGCCGACGCCAGCGGAACTAAACGTTCCCTTGGGTCATACATGTAACGTTAACTGGTATCCAGTAGATGTCCCTAGAGTCGAAACACCGGAAGCGCCAGCGTCCTTACGGCACTTTGCAAATGAATTCCAACCAATTTCAACGTGGGCTTCTTGAGCCTAATGTCGTATCTAAAATGGGAGTTACACCCTTATATCCCGGAATGCACCACAGAAATAACATCGCCCCGTGTAAGATCCCTATGGATGTATGAATTCTGCATGGATACTGTTGGATGCCCTATACCTCAAAACCTAAAGACAAAATATTGAAGCCTTCTATCCTTACGTTCAGCCTTAGGCAGTGATTTACAGGGGTTCCCCCCCTTTAAAAAATATGCTTAGCAGGAAAGGCTTCATCTTAACGATTCTTTTTTTTTGTGGTAGTTTTCTTAATGACGTACCTGAGGGTCTCGGTCTAAGAAAACAGCTGATCTTCCATCTGTGATGTGAAAGTAGAGCGTGAAGTACGTTCCAGACCCGGCGGTGAGACATGTATATCTGACACCACTCGATCTGCACCCACCTGCGAATGATATTGTCAGCTCTTGTCTCGGAATGAGAGATGAATCTCTCGTTCCATCTCTCATTCTCATCCCATTCATCTCGCTCCCGTACGTGATCCATTGTCCTTGCCTCGATGGGGGAAGTCATAGCAGATAATCATATAAGATAACCTCTTAATTCTCTGGGAACTCTATCCAGTGAGTGACCAAGTAACTGGTACAAACTAAATGGTGATGAATAAGCTCGTTATAAAAAAAAAAAACAAACAAACAAATATAGATACTGAACGTGAAGACTTCTAGTACTTCTAGTCGGAGTAATCGCCTTAGTTTTAGAGGGAAGTGCGAAAGTTCGTCGGCATCAAAGAAGTTAAAAGGCGACCTTAAGTTCGAGACTCGGTCGATTTGGAGCGAAGAAGTTGGTTGGAGTGTTTTCCTTGGTCATCTTTCGAAAGTTCCTTTAGAAATTTCGGTCGATTTGGAGCGAAGAAGTTGGTTGGAGTGTTTTCCTTGGTCATCTTTCGAAAGTTCCTTTAGAAATTTCAGTCGAATTTGGGAGCGTTGAGAAAGGCGTCCTCTCAAACAAGAGATTGCATTTAACGCGCCAGAAGAGCGTCATTGATTACTTTCGCCGTTTTGAAAATACTCGGAACTTCATGGTGCTTTAGCATACAAACGCTCGGTTGCTTCAAATCGCCTCTGCAATTGCTGCTGAAGTCGAGGTCGCGGTCTGGAAATCTGGCACAGTTGGCCGAAAATCATTATTCTTGGCCAAGCCTAAGTCTATAATGAATACTTGCAAAGGAGTACTGCCTCTGACTACACCCCCCAAGTTTCAAAATAAATCGTAATTTAAAAGATCTAGGACAAAAATTGCACGAAAATTCTCGTGAAATTTTAATGCATGACAATTTCCGCTGTTTGAACGAACTCCCCACAGCCGTCCGTGAGAGGCTTGCATTACGTCTGCAGCAGACTTCGTAAGCTGCATTTTTACCATTTGTCTCGGCCAGCTCGACCCACGACCCTGTGGTTTCTCTCTGTCATTTCTGACCTGGTTCGATTTCTCGACAACGGCGTTCTCTGTCTTCTCGACGTTACCCACTTATCACACATCTCATTATGCGATATCGTAGAGCTTTTACGGTACTTAGCACCATTCTTCCGTCCGTCCATCACCCGGGGTATAGGTTTACGGCACTCTGTTTCGATCGAGGCATTGCTTAACACGTCTGATATAATGTTTCACGCTCTGAATGATGCAGTCAGTCGGTTCCGGTATATCGGCAAATAACTCTTTTTGACGACTCCAGAATAATATATGGAGGGAGACGACCGGCTGGCTGTGGCAGAGACGTGAGATGAGTGTCCCGTCTCGTGAGATGAGTGTCCCGTCTCGTGAGATGAGTGTCCCGTCTCGTGACACTCATGTCACGTCTTGTAGAACATACGCGTAGAAAGTTCTCCCAGGCCACATCCGTACGTGTCACGGTGTCGCAATTTTTTTTGTACGCCGTCCGGCCACGATTTAGATGCAGATGTGATAGGCGTTGCACCACGGTCCCCTGCGTTAAACCCAACCACGTCGGGTTTAATCCGTTCCCCTCCGTCAAACCCAACCACGTCGGGTTTAATCCATCTGCTCGGTCCCGTCGTGATCCCTCGGAATCAAAAGCATCGTCCCTTCCGAGCGGAAAAAGTTCACTTCATCTTGCCAAAGAGAGAATAGACTGCATAACTCCTC